GGACATGGCGGATGTGGTCGACTTCGAGATCAGGATTGCAAATGTAAGATCTCCATTACGACGTTTATGGGCAATAGAGTAATTATTGTTTGTATGTTGTTTTTTAATGTTATAATGTGGAGAGGTGTCTACATTTCATGAAAAATAGAAAGCCTGAGTAGATTTCTTTCTCTCAAAACAGGCAACAGATCTACCAGAACAGCGAAGGGACGAGGAATTTACGTACAACAAGTTGACGGTGGCAGAGCTGTCCACAAATGCCACAGACAAGGTAGGTACACATAGCTTACCAAGTATTTCTTTGTGTTTCCTTTCTTTTTCCATTTCCTTTTTTGTATCTTTGGTGTTTTTCGACCATTTTCTAATTTTTATTCAAAGCTACATGTAGGTTATATAATATGCTATTATTATAATACAGTTTTGGTCATGGTCAAATATTTTTGGTATTATTGGTTTCATTGGATAAGTAGTAACAATTTGACGTGCAGGTTTACAACTTTCCTGTCGTAGATTGACTGGAGGCGTTACCTGGAGACCCTGTGTCGCCTAGGTAACGCCCGGGTGCCAAATGTGGTAGTTGTGGAAGCAATAGACTATATGCGGAAACTGGGAGATATTTTGCAAGAGACGCCACCTAGGTATATATCTTAAGAGAAAAAATACATTTTTTGAAAGCACTTATCTATTAATGAACGTTTTGTTGTCAATATTGTTGTGTAATCTGAAAGGATGTCCACGCTTCTTTCTACATGAAATTTGGTTTATTTTCTTAACAAAAAGAATTTGAATGTACGATATATTTTATTTGGTTCATTAGGTATGCGTGCATCATGTAAACTGTGACCAGGTTGATGCTATAAAATTAATTAATTTGTTTTTCATTTCAGAACCATTGCCAACTATCTTGTCTGGAGAGTGTTGAAAAATCTTGTAATTGCTTTACCAAAGGAGTTTCAACAGCTACAAGAAAAATTCAAATATGTGAGTTTTCGAGAAGGACCGTAGCTTTGATTACCATTTCCTTTTTATAACAAAATACTCAAAAATAAAAACTGTTATATCTGTTAAAATGGAGTCGTATGGTACGTGATCAAAATGAATGAAATGACTTTATTTTCATTTCTAGGCGGTAGATGGCACCACCCGTATGTATAGCAGGTGGTATAGATGTGTCACTCTCGTCAACGACAATATGGGTTTGGCAGTCGGGAGGTTATTCGTGGAGAAATATTTTGATGAGGAATCCAAAACGGAGGTCGAGATTTTTTTCTGACATTACTTTCATCCTTGTATAATTTTCACTATCTGTCATTGATTCTGTACTGCACCATTTAGAAAACTCTTTCTATTTATTGAACAAATGTATTATTTGTCTACCCGATGTTTCCAATTCAAATGAAGACTCAAATATAAAACGATCAGTGAAAGTCTATAATCTGTTTTTCTCACAGACAAAATGGACTTCTGTTTAGTGATCTCTTTGCAGGATTAAATCTTATCGTGTAATGAAAGCTACATTCCCTTTGAACTGTAATGATTCATTAATAAGTTCACGCCTATATCGTTTTATCATTTTATATCCTAATAAAAAATCTGTATTCTTGATTGCTTCGTTTTTGCTTCTGTAGGCATTGGACATGATTCACAAAATCCGAAACGCATTCGTGAATAATGTGAAAGAATCGGTCTCGTGGATGGACGAAAAGACCAAAGAAGTGGCCACAGAAAAGGTGCTAGTTATCTTTACAATTATACCACCTAGAGTTAATATTGTATAGAAAAAGATAATCAGAATTTTGTTGTCCTAATAAAATGTCTTATCTACTGGAGTATTCCAAATGCCTTAATTCAGTTTTTGAAATGAAAACAAACATATTGACACATTTACTATATTTTTCCTCGAACGTCTCTGTCAGGCGGCAACAATGTTAGAGAAGATCGGCTATCCACCTTATGTACTGAACAACAAAGAATTAAACGCAAACTACGAGCAGGTAATTATCGTATTTAATGAATGAGACTGAAAATTTGCTGTAAATTGAGTGCCATATCAAATACTGCATCGTGCCCATGACATGCAATAACAAACGTTCAATGTCTTCAACAGTGTTCATAAGCAGTTTGTCTAGTTTGACGCATTCAGGACGAAACGTTAGTAATTTTGAAAACTTTACAACATCTTTATTGTCTTATATAGTGTCATCTAAAATGTTGTAACATTATTTTTAAGTTGACCATCAGCGCGGACAATTATTTTGAAAACATGTTGGCTTGTTTTCGGCATACTGCCATCCATGATTTAAAGCAGCTATCGTTGACACCTAACAGAACTAGGTAAGCGGCAAGAATATTGTTTTTCTATTAACCCCTTTAGTAAATATGTATTAGATGCTGTTTTAATACTTTGTTTGAAATTATTGGTTGGAAAATCATTTTTCGTTATTTCATTCTATTCAACATCGACAGACATTTATAATCATTAAAAACATCACATGTTTTTCTCGCTGCAATTATTTTTAATTGATTGATTTGGATTGATCTATAGTACATGTAATAACGTAAAACATTTCAGTGTTCATATTTAACCACTAAGATATTTGCGTCTGTAATAACTCCAAATGATCCTCTATTTCAGATGGGAAGACATCAACATCGTGATGGTAAATGCTGCGTATTCCCCCAACAAAAATCAAATTTGTAAGTAGCCAACAGCACTCATTTTGGTCTTAAATTTATATACGTGCACTGAAGAATATGTTCAAGGTTGTCACACCCAACACCCAAACCCAACATAGAGGTGCAGTTCACATGCTGAAGAGTACCCCCCCCCAACAAAAATTACATAAATAAACAGATAAATAAATAAAAAAATAAAATTGATTAACTTCGAAGTTGTATTCAAAGAACAAAAATCAATAATCAATTTTTAATTTTTACCATGTCTTTACATTTAAGTTTGATTAAGTTGAGGTCATTTAAGTTTAATTTTCAGACTACGTTCCGATATATTTTGTAGTGACTCAGTCATGGTAGGCCTATATCATACATAACGTAACCCAAGGAGCTTTTGCGTCATGGCTAAGACTACGTTACGTAAATTCCCCAGGAAAATTGTCAGAAAGTTTCATTTTGTCTACTAAGTACTTGTATCAACTACTTCTATGTTCTTGTTTCAGTGTTTTCAGCTGGGATGCTACAGCCGCCTTTTTATAGTAAATATTATCCAAGGTAAGAGAGCTAATTTAAGTAGCTTAAAATTTAAATTGCTGTAATTTATTAAGGTGACAGGCGTTCCTGGAGGTTACTAAAGGTTTATTTCTGATTTAAAACACCTCCATATATTGAGGTGTGAAGAAAATAATAAAATATTTCAGCGGACGTGAAAATATACTGACTCGACAGTTTTTGTGTGTCCTGCATTTTATTATATTTATCAACTGTCCCCATTCTCCAATCTCTCCCATTGTCCAAATTCTATTGTAGATATATTGGAATGTTTACGTGTCTAATAATGTTTATCAACCGATTACCTTTCTTTCTTTAATGTGTTACAGGTCAATGAACTTTGGCGGCATAGGTATGGTGATCGGACATGAAATCACACACGGACTTGACGACCAGGGTAAGCGATGGAAACTGGGTTTATTGTTTACTAGAGTATTTTTCTTGACACCCTGGGTGGATGGGTGAAGGATTAAAAAATATAATATAAAAATCATCAGATACAAACTACAATTACCACACTTTAGTTTGTAGTGATGCTCAGGTGGTCAGTGGCTTCCAAAGTAAACAAGGTTTCGGTTTTGCATGCTCCGACGTCCCCATTTACAGTATTTACATACTGTACTTGCAATAATCATAAATAGCATTTACATATATTCTTTCAACGTTTAGCATTTTTAAAATTTTATTTGAAGGTCGTCTTTACGATAAAAATGGCAACTTGAGGGAATGGTGGGATGAAACAACGTCGGAACGCTTTAAGGAAAAAGCAAGATGTTTCATCGAGCAATATGGAAATTACACAGTGGAAGATGTCAATATGAAGGTGTCTATCATGTTTCATATATTTTGCATAGTAATTCAGTATATGATAGAAAATGTCGCAATTCTATGTTATTTCATCATCTCCTCGTGTGGTTTTCAGTCAATTCCAGTGAAATCTTACACACAAATGACTTCACCTTTTGCACCTGAACTTTTTTCTCTCTTTTTTGTTTTATCATATTCTAATAATCAAAGAGAATTAATTTGTCTGTAAGCAGTACGGAATTCTTTTAATGCTTTAATTCAGTTTTGATGATAGCTGACCTTAACATGTACCCGTATGCCAAGGTACATGTACATGTATATAGTGATTAGTACATGTGTAGTCCCTGTCGCTGAATTAGTGAAAAGGGAACTCTGTTGGGCTGTCTGATACGAGTAGCAGTTAGTTAAAACTACTTGATTTTGAACGTATTCTTCTTATTTATGAATTCATGTGGAATGTTTTTTCTTATAAATAAAATTTTCAAAAAGCCATTTTAAGAAATTATTCTCGAATTTCAAGAAAGAGTTGAGGTAAAACCTTCTTGTGCTCGAAGTCTAATTCTGCGACATTTTAAAATTTTGTGCCCATCAAGTTGCTGCCATTGGAAACCTATTTCGTGTTTTTTCCCCATTTCTTCTCCGGCAAAGCCGTCCTGTGGGGGGTATGGATAGTTATTGTATTATTGTAAGTTTTTATTCAAGTTGATGCCTTTGTTTTACGAGCGATTTACAGATATTTAGCAGTAATGTAGCGACGCTATTTCTTTAAGACGTCATCTCCACATACTAAGCTTTTATCTCATGAATTATCTTACAGAAAACCAGTGCTATGGGGAGGGGTTTTAAATATTTGCATTTTTTTTTCAGATCAACGGTAAGCTTACGCAAGGGGAAAATATTGCCGATAATGGCGGGTTAAAACAAGCCTTTCAAGTAAGTTTTAGAGGGGAAAAAGGTTCCCAAATAATATATATCAGCAGTAATAAATTAGGCTAGCTCTTTTGTTACCAACTGAATAACGAAACACAACGACCTAATAACACAAACATGATGACATGTTACAGTTTAAGTAGCAAATAGTTGAGAAAAATAATTATGATCATTATTTTGACAAATTTTAGAAGTTTCAAGAATATCCATGCGGTCTACATAATCTCGTAGACAGAGGGATCTTGTATCATTTTCTATGATAACTTATGTAATTGTCCTAGGCGTACAGAAACTGGGTCAGTAAGCGTGGGCAGGAAGAGGAGAGACTGCCGGGATTGAACATGAGTCACAATCAAATTTTTTTCCTCAGTTTTGCACATGTAAGCCACAACTTTTCCTTTCAAATATTCTGGCCTTTTACTTAGTTGATGTACATTAAAATATACAAAGTCACTGTTCCTAAAAGCAAAACAGGAGTTTTCTTGTGTTGAAATAATGTTGTGATCTAAGATCAAGTAAATTAAATTTAGTGACAGCTTGTTTGAAACCCGTACAAATTGATCTGACAAAATAAGCATCAAAGTTTTTTTTTCAATTATTCAAATCATAAGGTTCAAATCGGGTTTTAAGGCATTAAAGCACCTTAGTTGTGGCTGATCTATTTAATGTTTGAATACCGTGCTTCTGTATTGTTTCTTTTATTCTCCAGATGCTATGTGGTCATCAGCGTCCCAAGTCCACTGTGGACCAGATTAGAACGGACACTCACACCACCTTAAAATACAGGTAAGAATGGCCATTGGCGCGGGGGGGGGGGGGTTCTAAAATTTGCCATTTGTGTTTCTTTTAGCAAGGAAGTAAGGTCTACCACGAAATTTGGCCTTCAAGACCAGAGTGTTTGGCTGTTGATCTTGTTGTCAAAAGTAGTACTCTGTAATGATATTATGATTTAGAGGGGGGTCGGAGGAAGTCCTGACTCCCCCCTCCAGTTTCTGAAAAATATATCACACCAATATACCCCTCTTGAAATTAGACCCTGCCTAATCCTCTTTCGAGATGGAGACTTATTGTGCCTTCAAATAAATAGACTATAATTCAAATGAAAATGATTTCAACAGCAACCCCTCAAACAAAATGTGCCGAACCCGTTGTGATTTGCATAACAGTAAGTCGCTCAGCGCAGTGCGCACTACTCGTACCTTCTTGACTGGTCACTTGACAGCTGCACACTGTAAGGACAGGATGCTGATATGTGTGTTGAAGTCGCAGAGCCGGAGTTTACATTCAGCTTCGAAAATTGTAACAAATTTGTCATGTGAGTAAACGATTTTCATGTTTTTTTACGAGTTCAAACTACCAGATAATTGTTTCTTATTATTTTTCTCGTTCTAAACTTTAAGTTGGCCTGAGTAGTTGACTGGATTTGAGAAAAGTTGCATAGTGATATCTTTAAAGATCTTGAAAAGCACGTGCTGCCAGTAAAAACAGAAATATAATATGAAGAAAGTTATATTAGATAGTTTGATTTTTGGTGCCCAGATGCTGTCACTTCAATGCCAGTCAATATTCATAATTAGGCCACCTGAACACATTTTGTATTTTAAACACTTCCATAGTACATGTAATTGATGTATTAGTGTGCACCTTCTCAGATGCTTACATTACAAACTGATTAGTATAACAGTGCATTTAGTTTTACCAGTATTGTATAAAAGATTTCCATATTTTTTCCATGAACGAGAGAAATTTTTTTTAATTTTTCACGATGACTTGTTTGTGTATATTAGCCGTCTAGACTCTAATGCTTTGACTTAGGGTTATTATAACCCTTTATTATCATCCAGATACCAAAAATGAGTTTTTTCTTTAATCATCAATAATGCATCTATCTTTGCGCTGATTTAAAATGATAAAAAAAACTCCAAAATATAAAATATCGGCGTTTATATTATTTCGTTGCCATGTGTAGGCATAGGCAACTCAGAGCTCTAATCGTCAATTTAACTCCTTTCTATTTTGAGGTAAGATTGCAATCGGTATGGAGCGTAACTTCATCCCTGAACAAGATTTTATCACGAAAATTGGCAGAGTTCACTAGGAGTGTATAGGCTACTATCCTATGCCGCCATTTTGGTTTTTGTTATGGAGTTATGAGACCCAGATTACAGAATTTGATTAAACAAAGGCATTATTTTGCTTTATCAACGGTAAAATTTGAACTAAGACTTTTAAGAAAAATCGCTGGCAGGATTTTTGAGTACTAAATGGTGTCATTAAATCGGCGTTAAAACGGTGATCATGGGTGCTCAGGTTAAAGAGAAATTTGGGTAACCGATTTTACAGCATTTACCCCAAAGTCGCAATTATGACGTCACCCGTAATAAGACATATGTGTAAATGTTAATTAATTAAGTTACTAAACACTCAAGACTTATAAATTACCCAAAAGAATGTATGTAAGGCAGTAAATAAGGAGTTTTGGGGTGACAATATCTGTAATTCCTTAGTCTTTTACTGGGTTCCCATACCTAGATCGATCTAACAGGATCAATCCATCTTAGAGGGGTTTCTCGCAAAATTGCAATTAACTTAAGCGGCTTAGATGTCTGGCACGCCTAGCGAAGATGCTAAACAATTATTTATTACCCCCTAGCAGCTCCAATAGGCGTGACAGACATCTAAGCCGCTTAAGTTGATTGCAATTTTGCAAGAAACCCCTCTGAGACAGATCGATTCAAAGTTACTACGATAGGGTCTGGAAATGGTCCCTTTACCTTGAAAACGATTTCCAAAAGTATTGGCCGCATTATTTCTTGTGATTCTTCTCATCGTTAAATATATTTTTTAATCTTGCATACAAACCCTGTTTAGTCGAATTTTTAAATTTGGTGTTCAGTTAGCCTCATTATGATTTTTTCAGCATGAGCAGAGGTTTTTCTATTTTCAGTTAATCTAATCTTTATTCGGATTCTCTGCTTTCGAAGATTGAAATGTCATTTAAATGTTATTTTGATATTTCAGAACTGCAAACGCCTTTGCCGAGATCCCACAGAGTGCACGTGCGCCTGACTAAAGCTTTCCTGGTCTTCGACACGTATTTTAAAATCTGCTGCAGATCCAGATCTATTCGCGTCGCAGATGCTATATGTTGAAAATTGTACATGGTCTCTCTCTCTCTCTCTCTCTGTGATTTTTAAACACGTTTTTACATATTGAAACTGTGCACTAAGATATTGTTGCCTTTAAATATTATACTTACAAATCGATCCTTTGTTTATTATATATATTATACCCTAAGGACTGATCATGATATTTTTAAAATTATACCTGTGCATTATTTTATTTGGAACCAATCCAGCTTCTTTTTAAATTCATCTCATTATGCCACAGTGCAATTATTAAAGTGTTTAAAATGGCATGATGTTATTTTCAGAGTGTATGCAAATCTCAAATTTCAAAGTTGAGAGCAAAAACGCAATTTTCACGATGTTGAAGCTCGTTTAAGATTGTTTATTTAGCCAATCAACTACCTTATCATATTATTATAATTTGCATTGTATAAGTCAATTTTTATTGTTTATATTTACACTTGTGAATGACAAGCAATTTATGAAAATAAATGCACTTTTTGGGGGGTAGTTTTTGATTCAATCTAAAATAGACAATATTAAAGTAAAATTGATATGTACTGAATTTTTAAAACCAATACTATACTCTATTTGGAATGCATTTTTGTTCTCCAGATTAAGTGAACAATTTAGAATTAACACAAAGCAGTTTCATTATAATGGCACGAGTTATTACTATAAGTAAATTCTGTAGGTGCCAATTTTCAGATTTATCATTTCCGGTCATATTCAACCGCTTAATTTCGCCTGTCGGCCTATTCTTTGTCCAATGAATCCAGTCTTGTTCAAAGACTGTTCTATTTCCTCGTTATCTTTTATTATTCGAGCACATGAGTCCTCTAGTAAATATTGAGTTGTTTCTTCGTGGTTTTCTGTCGTTAAAGATATCATATAATAAATAATATATATATTTTTTTTATATATTTTTTTTATTGCATATCTCAACAAAAAATACAAAATTGAAAAATAACTAAATAAATAATATATTGAAAATTTGTTCTTTACTTGTTGATTGAAATGAATGACACTCGTTATGACTGCACTGATATATGTGAGAGAAAGAAACGTCTCGTCTTTTGGCGAGTCTATCAAATTTGAGGGATGAAAGGTGGGACAAGTCCATTCGATTTGAGGGGCATCAGATGGGGCGAGTTCACTCCATTAAAGGGGTGACAGGTGGGGCGAGTTCATTCCATTTGAGGGGTAACAGGTAGGACGATTCCATTCCATTTGAG